TGGAATGGTGCGCTGTGATTGGTTGAGCGGATATATCGCATTCTGCAGAAAAGGGAGACTGGCGTTTGTCACGGTTTGGAAAGAAAGGGAGAAAACATGACAGTATAACTCGGCGGATATCACATTTTGTGTAAAATTAAAAATGGACTTTTCAATACCAACCAGATACAATACTGATTTTGGCGGAAACTCAAACTCGCGTTTTGGAACCAAACTCTTCATATATATATATATATATATATAGTAGAATTATATAGTATATATAGTACAATTGTCATTTTATAACTGAAATGCACATTGCTTATTTCAGATGATAGCCATACAAGCTCCCTGAAACAGCTGTGATTGTTCAGACCTGTGCTGTGAAGCAAATGTCAATACCGGTCCTTGTGAAAGCAGGCAATGTGAGAAATCAGTTGTTCTTAAACAAGATTTAGAGGCCATTTTGATTTGGATGCGTTTTTCCGAACAGTCTTATGTCTGCTAAAAGAGGGTTGCACGGTAGTTAATTTATGTGCAATACTGCTATACAGCATGTTTCTTTTTTGACTAGGTCATCATATGCAAATGTTCTCTTTGAACAAGGTCAGAACCTGTGCAGCAGTAAACAAGGAAGGAAAACAAAAAACGGAAGACATGCTTGGCCAGAGAGCAGCAGATTGCTCTGACCCACAATAGTCTATACTCACTTGTTTTGCAGGGAGCTCTGAGGTGGTTGCCCAGGCAACCCTGCCCAATGACACCGTGGGTGCTCGACTCAATACCGCATAGTGAAACGTGTTAGCGCGCACATCTGTATGTACTTACCACACATCACCACCTCGTGTGCTTCAATAATACTCCTTTCCTCCTAAACCGATGCACAAGAGTCTAGATTATTGTTGTTGATCTACGCACACTTTTCATGTAATAACTTATAGATCCAGGCACCACGCGGGAGTTTTCTTGCTGGGCTGTTCTCACTAATGAGTGTCCCATTGCTTTTATCTCGAGCAAGGAAGCCAGAGAGCTGGGAAGGCCGATATCAGACTGAACAAAATGATTATCCGTTATCGTAATGAATAGCGCGGTTGACTTGTTATACCCGGTGGGATGATGCATGTTGCCGCCACTATCTAGCTCTGCGACCCACCATGTTTACTAATCGAGGAGTTTCTGCAGGTTTTTAGCACTGTTAACATGCTAACCGCTAACGTTAGCATGCTTTCTGATGTCAGACACTTCTAAACGGAAAGCTGCGTGTGGCATGAGTGACCCATAACGCTAAGCCTATTTGCTGTTCAGTCTGGTCAGGCAGCAGATAAGATGATGTTAATCTTCAAGACGCCCAGATTCGAGTGGACTAGCTCTAGCACTTCCTTGTCACTCCGTTTCGATTAGTTTTAAGTTGTGAAAATCACAGGAAAACACCCTCAGGTGATGTAAGAGATTACGGCAGTGGTTTAGTATCATCTGTCTGTTACATGTACAACTGTTTTCAAACCCTGTTGAAGAAAAATATCTAAAACCAGCCTTTATCTTAAGGTGGTTTGCTGATCTTAGCTGGTGACCATGCAGATCAGGCATGGTCACTGGCTATTTTGATGGTTTTAGAGGGTTTTGGGGCGCTTCGCGACCAGGTAAACCAACTTAGACTAGCAAAAGCTTGACTATTTTAACACGAAACTGGCTGTTCTAACAGCATCTTGTAAAACTTAAACGTGGTTTTGACATGTTAGCAATGTTGCCATTAACATTCTTAGTGCTCATAAACTGGGTTGTATTACTTCACAACCTCACATTAAAATATATGACTTGTCTTAATTTATCACATGGTTAATTTACTCTGCAGTCATGCCAAATCAAATACCTTGAACGCCATTTTTTAAAACATTTTTATATAACCAGTCATTTGGTTTAGCAGAGATGGTTGTAAAATTATAGTGATTTTAGTGTTATGTTTTGATCTGCAGTCATCATATCCGATGAAAGCCTGTGAAGCGTATTCAGCAGAGTCTGACTACATTTATTTCAGTTCAGTTATTTCAGTGAATATTCATTTATTTAAAGAATCAAAAGTGTTTATTTTTTATTATTATTATTATTATATAATTAATTAATACCATAAATTATTTATATTTATATTTATTTAATATTTATATATGTATATTTATTTAATTATATTTAATTATATCTTTAAATACCATAAATTATATATATTTAAAGATATAATTAAATAAATATACATATGTCTATGTATATAAAATATAATGTGTACAACATATAAAATGTATAGTATATACATTGTACAGTATGTAATATTATATAATACTGAAAAAATGTATTTAATTAAATACTTTAATAATTTATATTTTATCTATTGGAAATAAATAAGTGAGTGAATGAATGATTGAATGTCTGTCCTCTCTGGTAAAGCAAACATACTCCAGAGTATGTCTGGCAGATGTCTGCTTTTATGTGAACGTATCAGAGGCAGAAAGAGCTAATGTTTGAGCACTCTGGGCAGGTCCTGTTTGATCCTACAGATGAACTGCCATATTTTGCTCATCTTGACATTTACGTCTTAGTCTTGCATGTTGTTTATCTTTCTTTCTTCCTTATTGAAAGATGGCAGTTTAGAAGATGACAGTGACGAAGACGAGGAGAACGAGGAGCCAGACAACAGGGACTACGTGAGTGTTTTGAGATTGCTCTGGAGGAAGACGTGAGCGGCGCCTTCAACACACGCATGCACAGATCGTGCTCTGTACAATCCCGCGTTGTAATTTTGACAGAGCGAACAATGTGTGTGTAAATTCCACTGATTCATTCTCCCTCCTAAAATGTGATTGAAGAGCAGGTTCTGCGTGTGACAGGAGCCTGACACAAGCGACTTCCTGTTCTCACATAACTTCAATAATAGGGCCCCTGATTCAGTCATAAATCAATGACTTCACAATCCCGTCCCTGCTGAAATGGCACCGCCAAACCAAAGTGCTTCCTTCCTCTTCTGCCCTACATGTACTCTTCAAATACTGCTAATGCATTTCTTTATTTCCATGTCTGTGCCCCATCATCTTGCCATAACATGGTACTTAATGACTACTCTGTAGTGTAAATGCGTGACTTTTACAGTGAGATATTACTCATTTTTGGTTAGGTGTGACCCTAATATGCCCACGTACCTCATACCACATTATACTTTTATTTTAAAATATTGTATTGGACAGTCACTGAAAAACTTTTGCTTTGTGAGATGCCCTCAAAAGATGTTACTTTTGTAGTATCCAGTAAATAACTTATTTCATTTACTTGCTGCTTTTTTTTTCATTCAAATTTGGCTGGGTGGTTAATAACACATTTTTCTGTGGTGTGACAAACTCAGAACACATATTTAATATTGCTTTACACAGACTTTAAGTATTGCAATAATAACAGCTGAACATCAGTTCATAAATAAAATATATACTTTTTAAATAAAATATATTGTTTAAATGGTTACTGCATTGAGTTATTATTTTGGAATAAATGTAAAATGCTTAAAAACACTAAACTGATTAGATTTATACTTGGTTTTAATAAATAGAAAAGCCTATTAATTATATTGTTAATGTAAAAATACAAAATAGATTTTCATTCTGGTAGTGCACGTAAAAAACAAAAAACAACAACAAAAAAAAGACTGAATACTCTATAATCCAGAAACGTATTTATTATTTAATTTAATAGAAAAAAACAGGCTCAGAGCACGTCCACATTTTTTACCCACTTATGTTGGTAGAGAGGAATAATAAAAGAACTTTAAGAGGCTTTAAGTCAATAATAATTAATACAAAAATGTATAAAATAATAATAAATAATTATATATATATATATATATTATTCATTATTATTTTATATATATATATTAGTGGTGTCAAAATTAGCGCGTTAACGCAGGCGATTAATTTTTTCAGTTTAACTGTAAAGGATACACGCTTTAGCCTGTATCCTTTCATA